TACTCACCAAGGTAGAGTGTAGAGCATTATCTTTATAAGTAGTGTCATGCCAATTGAGCTAGATGTTCCCCGAGACCATGGTCCCCAGAGCCCTCCATCCAGCAACTCAGTCCCTCAGGGAGTTTGGATGTGTCCATGGGACCTCCATGAGTGGCTGTACTTCTTTTAAGACACATTTGTTCGTTCTTTTGGCAGTTCGTGATATATTTAATATTCTTCGCCAACACCATAATTCAAAGGCATCAATTCTTCTTTGGTCTTCCTTATTCATTGCCCGGCTTTTGCATGCATATGAGGCTATTGAAAACACCATGGCTTGGGTCAGGTGCATCTTAGTCTTCAAGATGACGTCTTTGTTTTTTAACACTTTAAGGAGGTATCTTGCAGCAGATTTGCCTTCTGCAATGCATCCTTCGATTTCTTGACTGCTGCTTCCATGGGTGTTGATTGTGGATCCAAGTAAAATTAAGTCCTTTACAACTTCAGTCTTTTCTCCGTTTATCATGATGTTGCTTATTGGTCCAGTTGTGAGGATTTTTTTTTTTCTTTTTGTTGTGGTGTAATCCATTCTGAAGGCTGTAGTCTGATCTTCATCAGTAAGTGCTTCAAGTCCTCTTCACTTTCAGCAAGCAAGGTTGTGTCATCTGCATAAGGCAGGTTGTTAATGAGTCTTCCTCCAATCCCGATGCTCTGTTCTTCATATAGTTCAGTTTCTCGGGTTATTTGCTCAGCATACAGATCAGATAAGTATGGTGAAAAGATACAACCCTGATACACACCTTTCCTGACTTTAAACCACACAGTATCCCCTTGTTCTGTTTGAACAACTGCTTCTTCATTTATGCACAGGTTCCTCATGAGCACAATTAAGTGTTCTGGAGTTCCCATTCTTCACAATGTTATCCATAATTTGTTATGATCCACACAGTCGAATACCTTTGCCTAGTTAATAAAACACAGGTAAACATCTTTCTGGTATTCTCTGCTTTTAGCCAGGATCCATCTGACATCAGCAATGGTAATTAGCTAAGGCAATTCAAAACCATAAATTCAGAACTATGTGGATATTCTCTTCTCAGAGCATTATTTTAAAATCTTGTTTTGTAGTTTGATTAGTGAGAAAATTATATTTGAGTTTTCTTATGTTTTCTCTTTCTTAAATTTCTTCTATGTATTATTATCTAAAAACTAAAAACTCTTGCTGAGGAGCCTGAGGAAGAGGATGGCAGCAGCTGTGACTGAGTGAAGCCCGGTGACAGGATGGCTGGGCACAGAGGATGCCCCTTTAAAGATCAAGATTGTTCTGTCTCCAGTTGGTGTTGGTATTAGGAGATCTGCACATCCCACACTGCTGCAACAGTTCGCTGGCTAAATTACAAAAACTGCTGATGCCAGAAAAGATTCAGCACATTCTCTGCACTGACACGCTTTGCACCAAAAAGAGTTATGACTATCTCAAGACTCTAGCTGGTGATGTTCATATTGTGAGAGGAGACTTTAATGAGAATTACCCAGAACAGAAAGGTGTGACTGTTGGACAGGTCAAAATTGGTCTGATTCATGGACTTCAAGTGATTCCATGGGGAGATACGGTCAGCTTAGCCCTGTTGCAAAGGCAGTTTGATGTGGACATTCTTACCTGGGGACACACACACAAATTTGAAGCATTTAAGCATGAAAATAAATTCTACGTTAACCCATGTTCTGCCACTGGAGCATATAACGCCTTGGAAACAAACATTATTCCTTCATTTGTGTTGATGGATATGCAGACTTCTATAGTTGTCACTTATGTGTACCAGCTGATTGGAGATGATGTGAAAGTAGAAGGAATTGAATACAAAAAATCTTAAAGGCAGGCCTGTCTTGATGATTGTTTTGTTTTTTTCCATTCCCCTGTTTAATTAAGTAAACATTTAAAGCCAAAAATTGTATCACTTTTATAATATTTTGCAGTAAAATATAGTATCTTCTCTGTTAATACGTAATTATTTTAAGCTTCTTGTAAGCTCTAAGAATATATTTAGTTCACGGTATATAATTTCTATGAAAAAATGTCCACCACATAGTAGATGATCAGCTGTTAAAAAAAATTTTATCCCAGTAAATATCTTCAAACTTGATACTTGGAACTTTATTATGAAAGTAGTGCATGAGTGGAAAGAATCTAGACTTTCTTCTATACACTTTTCTCTTTTTCATTCAGAAATAAACTTTTATCTTCCATTTAAAAATAAAATAAAAACCAAAAACGAATCCCATTGCTGTTGAGTTGATTCTGACTCATAGCGACCCTACAGGACAGAGTAGAAATGCCCCATAGAGTTCCCAGGGCTATAATCTTTATGGAAGTAGACTGCCACATTTTTCTCCCAAAGAGCGGCTGGTGGATTCGAACTGCCAATCTTCAATTTAGCAGCCAACCGCTTACCAATTGTGCAACCAGGGCCCCTTTATGATCTAAATGGAAGATAATTTAACACAGATATTATTGTATGTGATTTTGAAGTTTTCCCTATGAAATGTTGAAGTGGTAGAATTGACATTCTTTATTTAATTTATCAAGGAGCCCTGGTGGCTCAGTGGTTAAGCGCTGGGCTGCTAACGGTCAGAGGTTCGAACCCACCAGCCACTCCACAGGGAGAAAGATGTGGCAATCTGCTTCCGTAAAAATTACAACTTTGGAAACCCTATGAAGCAGTTCTACTCTGTCCTATAGAAACAGTATGAGTTGGAATCAAATCGACGCAATGGGTAATATTTAATATATCACCACAAGAGGGAAAGAATTCCCAAATATGATTATTTTTCTTGAAAGATTGTTTAACTGTAAAGAAATAACTAAAAATCAAATATAGTTCTTCAACATTACTTTGTTTAATGTTTTAAATGCCAGTGTTCCTACAAAGATTCAAATTTGAGGAAATAGAATCCTTTTTCTTGCTTATATTGTTATTTTAAAACTCTGTGAATATTTATTGGCACTAACAGGATATAATGTACTTCCCAAACATTTTCTAAATCGGTACTTTTACTCTCAATATAGTTCCATATTCGTTTAACCATTTGAAAACAGTAATTGTTTTGCACATAAAAGCAACAGTTTTCAAAATGATCCTTCAGTACTGCAGTATTTTACTCTTGCAATAATAAGCGTATGTTTATACCTCACATGACTGAAAAATTCAGCTATAAAACACAAGAAAATTTTCACTGCTAGTAACTTCTGGAGCCCTGGTGGCACAGTGGTTAAGAGCTGCAGCTGCTAACCAGTCTGAATCCACCAGTCGCTCCTTGAAAACCCTATGGGGCAGTTCTGTCTTTCCTATAGGGTTGCTATGAGTCGGAAGCAGCTCGATGGCAACAGGTTTTAGTAACATCTAGATTCTTCACTGATATTTATAACTGAATAATAAATCCAATGATCTGCCTTGTTCCTATTACTGTTACACATTAGATCAATGGCAACTTAAATAATCACATGATGATTGATCATGCAAGGGATCAGCGATACTAAAAATAACGTTAAGTAGGTATTCAGCTATTTTGCCTTCCAAAACCTGAGGTCAAACCTGAAGCTGAATAGCATATTTGGCTAAATACCTTGGCCATGGCTAACCTTCAAAATTACCTAGATAACACTTTTAAAATATAGATTCCCATTTCTTATTCCAACACCAAAGAAAAAAACCAAACCTGTTGCTGTTGAGTCAATTCTTATAGGACAGAGTAGAACTGCCCCATGGCATTTCCAAGGAGCAGCTAGTGGATTCGAACTTCTGACTGTTTGATCAGCAGCCTTAGCTCTTAACCACTGAGCCACCAGGGCTCCTTTCTTATCCCAGACTAACTAAATTTAGGGCTGAGTATCTGAATTTTTAAAAATTTCCCCATTATTTTTGCTTGTAATAGAAAAACATTTGAAACAGCATTGTTGTTGTTGTTAACTTCCATGGAATCGGCCCTGACTCAACATTCGTCGTTGTTGTTAGGTGCCATTGAGTCCATAAATGTGCATAGATGGAGGCATGTTAAATAAATGATGATACATCCATACAAAGGAATATAATGCAACTCTGTATACGCTTATATGGAGTAATCACCAAGAAATGTTAACTGAAAAAGCATGGTGCAGAATAGAGAACAGGTTATACTAACATTTGTGTAAACATATATATACATATACATGCTTTTTTAATTTTTTTTTTATTGCTGCCATAAAAAATTACCACAATTTAGTGGCTTAAAACAACACAGAAGTATCGTGTGAAAGTTCTGTAGATCAGAGGTCTGACATGGTTATCACTGGGCTAAAATCAAGGTGCTGATAGGGCTGTGTTTCTTTCTGGAAACTCTAAGGGAGAATGTTTCCCTGCCTTTTTCAGCTTCTAAAGGTCACCCACATTCCTTGGCTCATGGCCAAGTCCCTCCATCCTCAAAGTTAGCAACTTTGCATCTGTCTGATTATTCTTCAGTAGACACATCTCTGACCAACTCTCTTCTTTTGCCTCCTTCTTCCACTTTTAAGGACCCTTGTGATTACATTGCATCCACATGGATAATCCAGGATAATCTACCTATTTTAAAATCAATTGATTAGCAACCTTAATTCTCCTTTGCCATGGAACATAACATATTTACAAACCCCAGGGATTAGAATGTGGACATTTTGGGGTGGGGGGCATTATTCTGCCTAGCACAGCATATGTATTTATATACATTTTATAAGTCAAGATTCAGTTGCAGAGAACATCATCTCTCGCTAGGTTAAGCAGAAAGGAATTTGTTTCAATGGCCTCAGAACTATTGGCTGAAGAACTAACAGAACTTAAGCTAAGCTTCCAGGTATCGTTTCCAAAGAACACACTGCAGAACTAGGCCACCAGAAAGCTGCCCCCTTGTCATAATCAGGTATGTGTCTATGAAATCTGGAAACTTCAGCAGAGCTGTTGTCTGCTGAACCTACACCACCTCTGAGACTATCAGAAAGCTGCCTTTGCTGAACTAGCAATCCAGTACTACCCTGTTGATCTGTGCTGCTTCTGCCATGATCCACAAGAGTAGAATGAATGCCTCTTGCCATATCCTTCTCCTCACTTTGCTCAGTTCAAAAATCAAGTGTCATACAAGTGCATTCGATTAAACAAACAAAACAGGACAAAAACAAAACGCCAAACCAGTTGCCACCTAGTCGATTTTGACCCATGGTGACCCTATGAGTTTCAGAGTAGAACTGTGCTCCATAAGGTTTTCAATGGCTTTGATCTTTTGGAAATAGATTGTCAAGACTCTTTTCCTGCATCTGATTACCCATTGCCATCAAGTCGATTCCAACTCCTAGCGACCCTACAGGACAGGGTAGACGTGCCCCATGCCATCGCGTTTTCAAGGTTGTAATCTTTACAGAAGCAGACTGCTACATCTGTCTCCCACAGAGCTGCTTGTGGGTTTGAACCTCTGACCAACCTTTTGGTTAGCAGCTGAGCATTTAACCACTGTGCCACCAGGGCTCCTTTGTATCTGATTAGAGAAACCTAAATCACATCAGGAATTGTGATTATACTGGAGTCTAGGAGATGATATTTTTAGCTTTGGACTGCCAAAAGAATGAATAAATGGAAGAAGTACAAGAATGCTTCTTAGAAGCAAGGATGGTGAGACTATGTCTCACATAATTTGGACATGTTAGCAGGAGGCACCAGTCCCTGGAGAAGGACATCATGCTTGGCAAAGTAGAGGGTCAGTGAAAAAGAGGAAGACCCTCAATGAGATGGATTGACATAGTGGCTGCAACAATGGGCTCAAGCATAACAATGATTGTGAGGATGGTGCAGGACCAGGCAGTGTTTTGTTCTGTTGTACATGGGGTCACTATGAGTTGGAACCGACTCTATGACACTTGACGATAACAACAGCCTCTGCAATACAGGAACACCTCCCCCCTCAAAAAAACACAAAAAACAAAAAACAAACCTGTTGCCATTGAGTCAATTCTGACTTACAGTGACCCTATAGGCCAAAGTAAAACTGTCTCATAGGGTTTCCCAGGAGCAACTGGTGGATTCAAACTGCTGACCTTTTGGTTAACAGCCATAGCATTTAACCACTGCGTCACCAGGGCTCTGCAATACAGAAGGGCATGCTATAAAGAAATTGAGAACAGATATTAAACAAAATATCTGCCAGAAACACATGGTATATTTCTGGGAGGAAATACAAGAAACTAGCATAGTGGATGCATCTAGGGAGGGCAATTAAATTTCTGGAGGATGGAATGGGAAGGACACTTACTTTTCATTGTATGTCCTTTTGTAACTATTGAATTGTACCTTGCACAAGTATTAGTTTTTCAGAGCTAAATATATTTTTTTAATTTGATAGGGAAAAACAAACACAAATAATCAAAAATAAAAATAAAAATATATGCAATGATTCTGAGACAGATGCTCTACAGACCAAGGTTTAGCAACCACACCAATAAGTACTTGTTGAAATAAATGTGGTTTGTGTTTGATCCAGTTAAGGAAAATCATAGCTAGGTGAAGCAGTGATCGATGATTACTGGAATGTAGTTTTATATTATTAATTTTTTCTTCATTTATGGACAAAAATATAATCTTTACTGCTACCTAGATATTTTTTTTACCTTGCATTTTGCTATAATTTGTCGCCGTCTTACCCATTTCTTAGGGTGACTGGTTAACTAATATGTACACAAAAGGCTGACTTATGTAAAAAAAAAATCCCTGTTTTCAATTATCCATCACTTGGGTAAGACTAACCATTTGGATGGAACTCCCATAGCCAGGAACCACAATTCCACTGTTGACACCTGCAAGAATTATAGGCATGATGCCAAAAAGAGAACAGTTCTATAGGATAGTCTTGTAAAATCAAACTTACTAACCTATG